ATTATCAGCATTTATAAAAGTTCATGTTTGGTAAAAAAAATATCGAAACTAATTTATATCTTCTAAACGGTAATAGATAGGTATAGGGAAATAGTATATAAATTTGTTGACAAAGTGATGATAAATCATAATATGATATTATATACGAGGTCTTCCATTTGAAAAATCAAAGAAGCCGCTACTTTACAGTAGAAGCGACAACGCCGCTTCGTCTAAAATATTTTAGGCGTGTAGGTTATATTTCCAAGATGATGCTATCAATTGAAAGTCCACTGTAATGCAAACTTTACTGGCCATACTGTATAACAATTGAACACATAGGTATTTATAACAGAAGTTAATTAATCCTCACAAACATCTGAGAGACATTTTGTTTTACAAACTTTCTGGTAAAATTTGGCAGAAAGTTTCGGCGTTCTGGTCCTGTTGGGGCTGTTGAAATCAACTCGGTATAATCCATATTTGATCCTGAAAAACGGACAAAAGGTTAATATTTCGTTAACACTCCGAAGGCTCATATCGATGTGTAACATATGGCCCGCATCATAATCACGTAAGACAATACTGTACGGCTAGAGGAGACGGTCCGGCCCGTACAGTCCACACATTGTGAATGAAACAGGGTGATTCAATACTTTTCAAATTGATCACCACTCTGAGTGTCAATTTTTCAATGTACAGTAAACATTATTAACAATATTAGTTAACAACATCAACAACCAAACCAGCAAAGTCGTTTTATAATTCCATGGTGTTACAACAGTTTTATTTTATTAGTATTCTATATTTACTTCCAAAACGCTAATTGATTATATTAGATGATCGGTGATCACAATACAGTTGTAGGCAATAAAAGTGTTTTATAAATTTGTCATAGAAACGTTTATGAAATAAAATTAAAAAACCATTATAAAATAGTCAGGAAATCAGCACAGAAAAGTTTTTGCAACTAACTTATAAAACTTATNATAATTAATAATTTTACCGAAAACTTTTATAAATGAGTGGCGCGCTTAAATTTTGCTTATAATAGGCTATATATTTGTCAATAAAATTTCATTTGCAGTAAAAATATCAATCTTCGAAACACAAACAAGGTCTTTAACAGTTTTATGAGTGCAAAAGTGAAATTCTAAAATGGCTTCAACCTTTCTATTTCTTAGTTTTCAGTGGGTGACATATCAATTATATTTTCCTAGTGTCCAAAACAAAATTACTTCTTGCGTCTTCAAGAAAACATTTTTAACACTTCTTTATTTTATTGTTATCGTTTTCGGCTGTATTATATTTGGAACTACTAAAAAACTCTAATAAAACTGTCTTCTGATTATTTTATAGGCATCGCTTAAATATGTTGCAAAAGTGCATTAAGGGAAGTCTCTACAAAACTACTTTTTAAGAGTGTTAGACAAATTTTATGGTAACTGCCAAAATGTTTATGAAACTATTTTGTAGTGTTTGTAAAAGGTCTTACAAAATATTGATAATAACTATGATGCTTTATAAAACGGTGCCAATTTCCTATTTATAGCAGTTTTATGAACGAATTGAAAACATTTCTGGGAGAAATGTAGTTTTATAATTTGTTTCTCCAAAACGTTTCCGCAACTATTATAAAATACGAAATTGCTAGTTGGGAACAACAAACGGAAGAATCATTGAGTATGGGATTATTTCGTACCATGTTTGGTTTGATTATGGAATAATTGATACGGCTAAAACTACAAATAATTCAGGAAGAGAACTGTGTTATTTTGCAAGGAACCAAACATGTACGGTGTCCTCACACTCCATTGGTGTTTTCCAGACTGGAATGAGCATTACCCACCTATATCCAGTCATCCATTCTAGGCTATCTATGAAGCTCCACACAGTGTATCCTAAAACTTTGACCTTATCTTCGATCATTGCATCTCTAATGTGGCTCAGATATTCCTGCAGATCAGAATTATGTCATTTGAAGTTACTTCGATTGAATTTCATGAACTTCGATGTTGATACATTGACAATAATAGATGATTGATATCAGTTACAGAATTTTCATTCAGTCGCACTATGATCAAGTGGTTTTCTAAAACATATTCTGAAACGTAGATTGAGGGAAATTATGTATCTTTGAATCGTGACTGAGGCATGATCATCTGTTGAAAATACTTACTTGGATATATGAAATTCTTCCATCATCATTCAAACCGCCGTCATCTGGAAAGCCATTTTCTGTTATCAAAATGTCTGGGTCATTATAATATTCCTTCACAAACCTCAACAAATATCTGATAGTCCAAGGAACAACCTGAGTAAAATTGGCCGTATTATTTTTGTTTGTAGAAGGTAGTGATATTTCTTGAATTGAGGCCTTCAGCGCAATGGACTAACTCACAAAATGAACAATTTTCAAGTAATGACATCAATAGCAAGTATACAACATTAAGTTTGATACAAAAATGGACTAAGCCACCTTTACTTTATATTCACTAGATGGCGGCACGTGATCCGTTATTGCATTTTAGAATTTTAAATATTTTGAGGAGTAAGAATGTACTGAAGCGGGTGAGTCCATTTTTGTACTTGTACATGTGATTTGTTGAGGTTATGAAAATTCGTGTTTACTGTCAAAGTTCATTTATTTCTCATCTAATATCTAATTAGTGATTAGGAACAATGAATAAATCTGTTGAAGAGGAACTGCAACGTGAGTATAAATGTGAATTTGATTTTTATGTTCAATTGAAAATTTCAATATTAGATTTGTTCGAGAGTGACGGAGAGCCTTCTGAATTTGCTGATTCTGGTTCTGAATACAATTCTACTGTTATAAGCGACACTTCCAGCGAAAGTAGTTCAAATTCAGACACACAGCCTCCACTGCAAGCCGCGCAAGTGAAACTATTAAGACAAAGGAAAAAACGCGTGAAAAAAGAAGAAACGTGGAAAAGGAATGTTAGAAAAAGCAAGCACTTGAAAGGTAAAGAATATATCAACAAGAGAGGAAATATACCGCAAAAACAACCAAAAATAGGTCTCTGTATGGATAAAAACGACTTCTTTTCAACAAAAAAATTGGAAAAGAATATCATAAATGGAAAAATTGATGTCGATAAGTTCAAAGTTCAGTAGCTAAAAATTCAGTGGTTAAGATTTTCCTCTGAAACGCCATTTAAGATATTTTATAAATACTCAAACAATGAAATTGTTTTCTTTAGTGAACTCAACGCAAAAAACAAAACACCCACCTGATTGACAATTTGGATTTACTTTATCCCAATGGAAACTGTGTAAATGTCCTAAAGAAGAAAGACCTGTTGAATTTGTTAGATTACGTTCCACCCATACACCATGCATTTCACAATAGTCTTAAGCCCAATGCTCGAATCGATGTCGATGAAGTATCTTTAGTAGATTTCTCTAGCGATGAAGATGTTTGATAAAATTCAAAACCAAATATTTTTGTTTCTCTCTTTGAAACCGTATGATTTTTATAGGGACCATCCACACAAAGAATAAAAAAGTCGATGTAAAAATGGACTAACCCACATCAAAATCAAATATCGCCATAATTCAAAAATCAAATAATCCCCTCTTCAATTTCACACCATATCTAAAAATAATGTGCTGAAAATGAAATTCGTTACGGTTTTGGCTTTTGTAGAATCTTTCTCACAAAAATAGCAATTTTTTATTTTCCATTTATCTCAATTTAAATAATTTGGGCTTAGTCCATTATTGCGCTGAAGGCCTCATATATATTTCAAGCGTATTGCTTTTTTCGTGGTGTTGTTATATTGGACTGAATATTTATTAGGTAGTTAAGTAATGTACTTTTATCTCGAAACAGGCGTTTGCTCACTTATCGAGTATGTATCATCTATGCAAAAAATATATTCACTGTATAAATGTTCTCATTATTGTTTTCTTTTTGTATCACACTGTCATTTCCATAAATATTTTTTAAGTGTGACGTTTTTTTTGTTTTTTATTNTACTGATGTTGATACGTTTCTTTTTCTTCAGCTAGGGTTCAAATCACCATAAAATACCAGAGATCAAGTAAGATGTCGTTTCAGAGATACTGAAATTATTTCAATACCATCCAAATTATATGGAACTGCTGCATATGATTTGAATTTCTGAAACGGGTTGTGAATCACAATTCTAGACAGTTCTGTAGCGCTGTAACTTTTACTGTCAGTCAGTTGTCTAGTAGACTCCGCATTGATCTTTTTGGCCAATAGACAATGTCTGTGTAATCCACCTAGCTCTTCCCTTTAGAAAAATGTAAAAAAATGTATAAGTTTCATAACCACTGATGATGTACTGCTGTTACCACCGGTGTCAACCAGGTTACTTTTTTTGTACACCAAAGAATTCCACCTGAGCCATTTGCTGGCAAGCTTCTGATCACCAGGCAATTGTTTCGTACATGGTAATCGTTCTAACAATCATCACATATATATATATATTATAGATTTAACTGGTCTCATTTCATTAAGATTTGCCGCAAATCCTCCAATATAGGGACAGTCTAGGTCTGTGGAAAACCTTTACTAAGTGGGCATTTCTGGTGAGTTTTCCATCAAGGAATATAACTCCAACAATGAATGAATCTATCATAATTTTTGTGGGATTTGTACATATCAAATTCCTTCTCGAAACATCAACTGTCCATTCTTTCGAGGATATCACAGGCTATGCTTCAAGATGTGTGTGGTTCAAGGTCATCTGCACAAGTTTGCTGGTCTACTCCTCTTATGTCGACATCTACAACCGGAATAACAACTACGAGATAACAAAGAATGAGCTATAATACTTCGCCCTGGTGACCTTGAACATGATGGTCTTCCCTTGAGGAGTCGTAATTGTTAGTCTGTTCAAAGCATATTGCAGATTCAGTCAGTTATGATTGATTCTATCTATCATAATCTTTCTGGGGTTTGTAGACATCAAATTCCTACTCAAGACATCAACCGTCCATTCTTTGGAGGATATCACAGGTTTTGCTTCCAGATGTGAGTGGTTCCAGGTCATCTGCATGAGTTTGCCTTATGTTGACGTCTACAATCGGCTAACACCCACAAGATACCACAGAATGAGCTATATTACTTCGCCCTGGTGACCTTGAACTTGATGGTCTTTCCTTAAGGAGTTATAATTGTTAGTCTGTTCACATTCTATGCTTTCTTCAGCCTGAAATAATCAAATATTAATTGAGGTACCAGTTTGATCAGCATATGAATATTTGTTGACGAAGAATGAATATAAAGTAACCTTTCTAATGCGTCCATATAGCATCCTCTCAAGTTGTTCTAACAAAAAAAAATGTTGATTGGTCGTACTGTTATGAGGTGTGGTATACAGGGCTTTTCATGATGAGCGTTAATTAGCCGTTTCTGACTTAGACGAAGCGGCATTGTCGCTTCTACTATAAAGTAGCGGCTTCTTTGATTTTTCAAATAGAACACCCCGTATATAATATCATATTATGATTCATTATCACTTTGTCAACAAATTCATATACTATTTNATGACTCGGAGTGAAGATCCTCATAGTATCACTCCACTCCATTTCAAATTTGATCGTTTTAGTGCAAGAGAGTTCAAGATTATCAGCATTTATAAAAGTTCATGTTTGGTAAAAAAAATATCGAAATTAATTTATATCTTCTAAACGGTAATAGATAGGTATAGGGAAATAGTATATGAGTTTGTTGACAAAGTTATAGTAAATCATAATATGATATTATATACGGGGTGTTCCATTTGAAAAATCAAAGAAGCCGCTACTTTATAGTAGAAGCGACAACGCCGCTTCGTCTAAAATATTTTAGGCGTGTAGGTTATATTGACTTATGCATACTGTGGAATTTTCAGATTGATCCGTTGGATAGTTTGCCAGAAACGGCAAATTAACGCTTATCATGAAAAGCCCCGTATATTTTCAAACCACACTAACTCTATATAGTTTTATGAGAATGAATAAAAGGTTTTGCTGTAGAGCTGGAAATATTCTATTCCCTCCAAGATATTTTCGTCCATTGAACTGCTGATGCTGTGTAACTTTCTTGGCGACTCCAAAGTCGATCTTTTTTGGATTTTTAGCGCGCCAAACAAAGGAAGAATTTCTTTTGAAGAGGTCGTCACTGTCAGATCAATCCGTTGACACGATAGTCGTTGACGGATATCCGTTGACGGATAGTCGACTATCCAGGAAAAATTTTGTGAATTTCAGTGCTGCGAAGTATATCAGATATTCTCTCAGAACTTTCATTCGACCTTGCTAGTATAGTTTCACAAAGCTTACAGCTATCTCACTCTTTATTTCAAATATATATTTATCGACAATTTTTTCAACAATTCGAGGCTTTCATTTCATCAGTTTCGATCATCAACATTTATTAGACATTTTAGAAGTTTCATTTCTTCCCTTCTTATTAGGAATGAACCTTTCCACATTTTTCACACGATCGAAACAGAAATTGATACTGAAATCATATTTCCAAGATGATGCTATCAATTGAAACTCCAGTGTAACGCAAACTTTACTGGCCATACTGTATAACAATTGAACACATAGGTATTTATAACAGAAGTTAATTAATCCTCACAAACATCTGAGAGACATTTTGTTTTACAAACTTTCTGGTAAAATTTGGCAGAAAGTTTCGGCGTTCTGGTCCTGTTGGGGTTGTTGAAATCAACTCGGTATAATCCATATTTGATCCTGAAAAATGGACGAAAGGTTAATATTTCGTTAACACTCCGAAGGCTCATATCGATGTGTAACAAATGGCCCGCATCATAATCACGTAAGCCGATACTGTACGGCTAGAGGGGACGGTCCGGCCCGTACAGTCCACACATTGTGAATGAAACAGGGTGATTCAATACTTTTTAAATTGATCACCACTCTGAGTGTCAATTTTTCAATGTACAGTAAACATTATTAACAATATTAGTTAACAACATCAACAACCTGTATGATACTTCTGTGGATATTATTATGTTTATTCATTTTATACCCAACTCTTATATTATTGTATCGATTTTATTTTATCACGAATAAACGTCATTATCATTATCATCATTATCATTATCATGTAGTACTATATACAAACTGATCAAGCACTAACGGAAAAAATGAAGGCATATTTGATCATTAATAAAAAATCTCATACTGTACGAAATTAATTGAGTTCAAATTCAGTACTTTGAAATTGATATATGTAGAGTTAATAATAATTTGAATCACATGCGACAGGAGCGCCTTAAAACGTCAAGAAGTAATGAAATTCGATAC